CACACACACACACACACACACAGTGCATGCACTCACACACAGACCCATATCCGCACGTATAGTATAATGAAATGGACAATTGTTGTCAACCCTACTAATGTGTTAATATTGTTTTTAGTAAGCGTTTTACGACACTTGCAACCCAATAAGGTGCCAAAAATTAGATTTGGTACAGGAGAGTGCCTAAAATGCAGGAGGAGAGATAAGGACGATAGACGTTAGGTATGGGCAGAAGGAGTTTACCTCACTAGAGCTCCCGCCAACAAACACTAAAAATGTTTAAGGTAAATACGCAATCAATATTCATAGGGTAATCTGATGGTTCTCTGGTAGTGTAATCTACTTTAATGGTTTTAGAAATACTTACATCACAAGATGATTCAGACGCTAGGGGTTTAATGACTATCTTTTAGGTTTTTAATTTAAGTAAGAGTATTACGGCACTTGCAACACAATAAGGCCATACAAGTGACGAAAGAATAGATTGTGACGTGTTAAAAGAGAGTAACAGACACCAAAAAAAAGCAATAGAGATAAGGACGATAGATGTTTGATAGGAAAGAAGGAGCAAGCCACACAATTACTATCTAGTTACACTGAAAGTACCCCAAGCTTAAAAAAACCCACCTACGATTCCCCACAAGCCGTCACATTATAGCAGGCCGTGCAAGCTTATTACGTATGTGCGGCATCTCCTCAGTGACCTCACAAACCATTACAGATGTGGTCCTGAAAGCTTTTAATTTCTCACATACAAAGTGATCGACCACACAGATTACTACAGTCCTAACGATGATTATACAGCGCTTCTGTCACCCTCGACATCTTCTCTGCAAAATAGGTGCTGGGTGTACGTCGACTTCGCGAGAGAACATGCTACTTTTCTTGTTCGCAAAATCTAGGTGCTTGAGAAAAAGAAAAAGTAGTCAGTTTCACAGTAATTGATATTTAACAAGGTATGTAGGGAGGAGGGGGCTGGAGAGGTGGGGATTGTGAGGGGGGAGGGAGGGGGGAAGGGGAGGGGGGAGTGGTGGAAATGCTGAAGAGCAAAGAAGCAAACCCTTTGGCTAGATCGATACGTCGTTAGCGAGGTTGTGAATTCTCCTACATTCATGCAACGCGCGGGAATCCCTCCTGAGGCAAAATCTCTCCTTCGTTTTCATTCCTCGTTCCGTCCGCCCGCTGAGGACACACACACTTACCCACACCCATCCGCACACACTCACGCACACTCACACACTCACGCACACACATGTACGTGATTAAGGAATCAAACGATAAGTGGAGCTTATTTATTTGATTATTACCACCTCATTTAAGTTTTTACTGCTTTATGAATAATATAAATACCGGAGTTCTTCAAGCATTTCGCCTGTTCGCGTGTTCGCCATCAATCTAAGCGGTGCGAGTTGTGGGAAAAGATCACAACATGTGAGTACGCAGACTTAGAAGATTAAAGACTAAATAATATTATTATGTTATGTGTACATTGTTTCAAGATTATTGTTAGGGAGGTGTTGTTGTTTTTTTTAGGTATGTTTGTTTATTTGCTTTTTTCCTATTTCTTGATTTTGATTTTTACAATACTTTTTAAAATTATTTTTCTCGTCTTTGAAAAGAATACTTTACCGGTAACCTTCAATTGCTAAAAACTGTCTATATTCAAATCTTTCTTTGGCAGTACGACTTCAACGAAAAACAATCAAACGAGAAAATGTCTTCAAAATAACGACGACGAAGATGATGAGGATGATGATGATGATGATGATGATGATGATGATGATGATGATGATGATGATGATGATGGTTGTTGTTGTTGGTGGTGGTGGTGGTGGTGGTGGTAATGACGATAATAATCTATACATGTAGAAATATTAGCGAAACTTAGCAGAACATGATGTTTCCAGTACTTTGTAAAGGTTTCCCTTCCCTTAATCAACATGTGCAGTGTAGATGTCAAGTAAGTGCTGATTAAATTTGTTTGAGGAGGGTCTCACATTTAATAATAATAATAAAAGATAGCATTTGTATAGCGCATATCCCCGCTCAACAGCAGGCTCTATGCGCTTTACACTATATTATACCCCAGCAGACCATAGAACACTCCGAAACATTCTCAGCTTCCCGGGAAGCATACAGTGCAAGCAGCTGATAAAGCGCTCAAGCACTAACAAACTGACAAGATCTTTCGCTGTCTATAGCTGGGTACCCATTCCCACCTGGGTGAAGTGAGGAAAATTCGTGTAAAGTGCCTTTCCCAAGGACACAACGTCGGGCCCTTGACGGGATTCGAACCCACGACCTTACGGTTGCGAGTCCGAGAGCCTAACCACTAGGCCACCTTCGCAACTTTGTAACAGTTAAACAGTTTTGTTGGTCGGTAAATAAGACCAAGTACCTAACACCCCCCCCCCCCCAAGGGCAGTGCTACTTACAGAAGTGTCTTTACGTCATTCCCAAAGGGGGCATATTAACATTATTAACATTTTCTTATGCAGAATAGAATTGTAAAGGGTTTATTTAGCAATGTCGTTATCATGCTGTGCGGTAAAAACATAGGGAGGGGGGGGGGGGGGCTTGCTGCTTTTTCCCCCTCATCCTTACTATCGTCATTTACCTCTACTTCTTTTGTATGTTTGTCACTCTCTTGTGAGCTGCTATTTCCTTCCGGGGTGCCTTGATAGTCGAAGCAGACTTTGTGCTGTTGAGGCTAGAGAGGTGAGGAGAGTAAACCTGATTCCCAGTTTGGACTTCCCTGTTGACATCCACCCTTGGCGCTCATAATATGACCTTATACAGTTGCAAGCGCCGTAAAACCTTACTAAAACAAAAGGACCCAACGAAATAAGTAATAGTGAACCTAGAGAATAGAACTCTAGTTTAAGCTGCTCCAACGAGCACATGTCTGTGACGGGTAGACTCAAAGAAGGGACCTCTGTAAGCTACGGCAGCACAAATGTGAGGCATTGTATGGAAATCAGGCGTTCTTAGCAATAGTGAAATCCAAGAAATAAGCACAATTTTTTCCCCGACAACTTGGTATATTTGATCGATTTTTGTTTGGACTCAACACCATGTATGTCCGTGTAACAACTCATTTCCATGCAATTTTTTTTCAAAGAACGTTGATGAAAGGCTGAAAAATATGGACATTTTCAGTTTTCAAGGACTCTCAAGCTATTGGAGTTACCAAATTTCGGCGACCACTTTCTCCCTTATTTTAAATACGGAAACCAAGTGACCCAAGTGCAAAAATCAAGACTTCTATTCAAGATAGAGGGATACTTTTTCATCAAAAGCAAAGCAA